CCCATAGCTGGACGATGCCTCCATCCCTTGGTATAAAATTTGGCTCCCAAAAACTAAGTCTGAAAACAAGACGGCACAACGGGGTGCCAAACGACCAGGTACCAAGTCGGGTACCAAAAATGGGGTCATCCAAAAACTAAGTACAGAAACAAGGCGACACAACGGGGTGCCAAACGACAGAGATACCAAGCCGACGAGATAGGCTTGGTAGCCACGCAACAGGGTACCAAGACCCCAAGAAGGTAAATTTGGCTAAGTATGGAATCTCATGACCAGGGGGCCATACGACACGATGTCATACCACCCATAGCAAGAGGGTACCAAGCTGATAAGATAGCTATGGTACTGAAGCATGAAATTTGGCTAAGTATGGAATCCCATGGCAACAGGGGACCATACGATAGGGTGTCATACCAACCATAGCAATAGGAGGCCAAACGACAGGGTACCAAGACAAAAGAGGCTTGGTAGGCTGAGGCCTGAGGGTACCAAGCCGGCAAGGTAAGGCTTGGTACCAAGACATGAAAAACATGAATTTGGCTAAGTATGGAGCTAAGGGGGTACCAGGCCAGCAAGGCAACCTCGGTACCAAGACCCCTAGAGGGTATCAAGCCAACAAGACAGACTTGATATCAGGTTACCAAACGTCCCAAAAAACTAAGTATTGAGATCAAAGGGTGTCAACCCGATGAAGAGGTGACAAGTTCGCCATCTGAGGTGACTACCCGGCTGGGCATCAAGTCATCACGAACATGATGTAGAGCCCCTTAGGGGGGGGGCTATCTGGAGACAAAGTCCCAAGATGGGCTTGGTAGCCCCCTAACGGGGTACCAAGCCGGCAGGGTGTAAGGTACCAACTTGATAGGATTGCAGAAGTTAAGTATGGAGACCAAGCCAGCAGTAGCAAGGGCATCAAGCCGACAAGATTGGTTTGATACCAAGATGACAAGTTGGTGCCATGATAGTCTCTCTAAGACTAAGTGTGGAGACTTGGGGGTAAAGAGGCCAAGTTCTCATCCTGTCTAGGTGGGTATTATGGCCTAGCTATCAAGACGGTTCATCGAGGTGGCTAGCAAGATGAGGAGCGTGGAGTCATCAGGGCTGTCGAGGATGTGGTCAAGACTTCATCATGGAGCCTAAGGCAAAGAGGCTCAACACCAACCCGACCCGCATCAAGACCATCAAATACCCACCGGTCCCAAGATGGGACAAGGGCCCCCAAGGCAACGGTTACCAACTAGTCACCAAGGCGGTGACAAGGGGCCCTGAGGCGGTTTGGAGCAAGAGGCCAGCTAGCAGTTACCGAGACAGTTACACCTAGTGGCTATAAATAGATGAAACTAAGATTGTAAACGGGTTCCGCAACCAAACCTTTGACACACTATGTCAAACATTTGTATTTTCTCTGCAAATTAGTCATTGCCTTAGTTTTCGGAGCTCTCACTGAACCTCCATAGGAGTAGAAGTAATTTAACGTAGCTTATTCCCAAAAAATCATAAAAAACAGCAAACACCCTCGTTCGAACGTTGTTCAAAGAGGTGTGAACTAGGGATGGCAATTACCCACCCATGAGTAATTTTACCCAAATCCAAATAGATCCATTTAGTATGGGTAGGGTTTGGATGAAGTGTATATGGGTTTGGGGGTTTGTAGATGGGTTTGGGTTAGGTATGGATATTGCTTTCATAATGTAAATGGGTATGGGCTGGATATGGATATCCATTTACTTGAGGGTGTTTTAACTACACACACCAAAATTGGACCTATTTGTAAAACTTGAAAAGTTTAGGTACCAAAATGTAAGACGGAAAAATTTTAGGTACCAAAACGTAATTTTCCATCGAAATTTTGAGGACTTATATGCAAAAAAAAATTAATTTAGGTACCAAATCTGCATATCTATTAAGTTTAGGTACCAAACTGTAATTTGCCTTTGGGCATGGGTACAAACCCAAATCCATGTGTTAAAAACCCAACCCAACCCAAGTAAATGGGTATGGGTACAAATTCATCAAACTCTACCCATCTACCATTTATTTGGAATCCATACCCAACCCAATTGGGTTGGATAGTAAAATACCCATGGGTATGGGCAAAATTGACATCCCTAGTGTGAACCGTGTAATTATCGTTGTTCAAAAAATCAAATTGCATTGATTAAATTCAAACACCAGAATTTTACTCATAAGGAGGGGAAGTGGTTAGGGCGCCTCGGAAGAAAGGAAGAGAGAACTTGGCTCAAACAATTATTAATTTGAATTGAGTAGTTGATCAAAAAATGGTTGTATTTCATGATAATTTCTTAATCATTCTTAAGTCTTAACCCACACGGAAGTTATAAGAATCTATCCGCCAAGTTCTATCGGCTTTGCTCTTTGAAAGTGCATATTTCAGTGTCTCCATGGAATCTAGAGCCTTCGGCGGACTGAGAACCAGACAAATAAAAAATTAAACTACGAATGAGGTTGAATATTATCCATAAATAAAGAAAGCAAGGATTAGACAATCGGCGACTGCATTTGAGAATTTTCAGAATTGTGACGTTTTGATTATCCACTAAGATAATGACAATATAAAGAATCGCAAACAGAAGTCATTTACGCAAGTTTTGTCGATGGTTGAATTCAACTGCGATAACCAAAAGCGAAATTCAAGCAAATATTGACCAGTTGGGGGAAAGAACAAAGACCCTCCGATTGGACAACCGTCCAAAGTAAGGGATCACAATTTCTATCTGATACGTTTTACATGTTTGATATGTTATCAGTGGCAAAACCAGATTGAAACAAGAATGGACTGTAATCCAATCAACTTAGAAATATAAGTAAAATTAGGGTTAATACCTTAGTTTGGTCTGAATTATACACATACTTTCTATTTTGGCTCGTGGTATTGAAAATTGTTATTCTGGCCTTAACTATGTAGCAAACTTCCTCATTTGGCCCGGAAGCGGGTTTGACTGTCAAATTAGACGGTCAAACCTGTTGACCGTTAGTCAATATCCACCTCACCTGCCACATCAGCTTTGAGGACATAAAAAATATTTTTTTTATTCCTGAATTTTGTTTTCTTTCGATTAATAAAAATAATAAATCAAAAAAATTTATTAAAAGAACGAAAAAGGGCTCATTTTTAGCAAATGACAAGAAAACAAAATTCAGAAATAAAAAAATATTTTTTTATGTCCTCAAAGCTGACGTGGCAGGTGAGGTGGACATTGACTAACGGTCAACAAGTTTGACCGTCTAATTTGACGGTCAAACCCGCCTCCAGGCCAAATGAGGAAGTTTGCTACATAGTTCAGGCCAGAATAGCAATTTCCAATACCACGGGCCAAAGTAGAAAGTATGTGTATAGTTCGGGCCAAACTTAGGTATTAACCCGTAAAATTACAAGTAATTCGATAGATATAATTGGTAAGACGTTATCTCCTCCCTTAGTTACCACATGTAATTCAAGTTAGCCACTCTTGTTCAGATTTCTTGCCTAAATAACATGTAATTATACTCAATTTACTTAGGATTTTATTGTCTAGTATTTTAGCTATAATATAGTTGTTAATAGGTGAGAATCTCAACTTCTCGAATAATTTAACTGCATTCATCATGTTATAGTTTATTGTTTATTTTTAATGAAAATAATTATTTAAATATCTTACATTTAAATTACATACTCATATGGGTCAATCTGGGCAGGATACTATGACTACCCCAAAAGGGGTTGGGTTTTTGACACCCCCTCCTGCAGCTATCCACGTGTCCTTCATCTTTGGGTAAGTATTAATGATTATTGCTTTATTGGGAAGTTGTCATTATTATTGCTTTATTGGGAAAATTCTCATAATAATGATGCATGGGAAAGTTCCCATAATAATGATACACGGGAAAACAACAATCTTTCATCTCCCCTTCTCTTCCTTTCAAATTTCTTTCCACCAGAACCCTCTCCCGGCGTCTTCTCAGTCCAGCAAACCCTCCCTCCGGCGGTTCACCCTCCGTCAGCCAACTTCCATCAGCGGCCCAACTTATCGTTGCCTTCCTTTCCGCCGACCCTCTCCCGTCCCTCCGTTCCCCTCGAGTCTCCTCTCCTGCGACATCGACTTCATCACTTCACACGGCCGGAAATCATCAAGATGATCTGGACGATTTCGTCTCTAACGTCGAGCATATGGAAGACGGCGGCAAACGCACCAGTGGAGTGGTACGTGTACCAGTGGAGTGGTACGTGTACATCGACTTCATCACTTCACGCGGCCCGAAATCATTAACATCGAGCATATGGAAGATGGTGGCGCTGCCATGAAAGTGGAGCCAATTAGAGACGCCGAGGAACACCAAAACAGTCTCAGTAAGGATCTGTATTCATGTCTCGTCGACTTCTCCCGCCCGACAATGTACCAGTGCACTTGTATTTTGTATCATTGAAGTGATACAATTCCACTCCAATGGTATTTTCCCCCTGAAAAGGTCAATACGGACACCACTGGTTATTGAAGCTGCCTAAACAACCTAGTTGCTTTGCATTAGGTGTTGTCAATACGTTCGTAAACTAGTATATTTGTTTGAATGAACATGTATCCGTGACATGACAAGAGTAACAGTGCTTACCCTTAATGTTGTGGTTTTATGTACCAGTCTAGTGATACATTGTTCCGGGACCAATATTGAAGTTTGTAAACTTGTTTTAAAATTGTTGAGGGACAAATTTCTAGATGAAATATCGATGTTCAAACGTTACCATTGCAGCATCAGATATAATGTACTTGTACCACTAAACTGATACATGTATCACTAAACTGATACATGTACCACATAGAGTATGGCATGAGGGAATTTACTGGTATTTGTATCATTGAAGTGGTACTGCATTGTTGCTCCGTTATTGTTTATCATTATTATGAAAAATATCATTGCACTGGTATTGTTCTCACTCCAACTCGTATTTGCCACTTCTAATGTACCACTTCATTTGTATTTTGTATGGGAGACATACACTACACGCCACTAAACTATAAGAATTGGGGGAAGGATACTACTAATGTGAAAATAGAGCACCAAATACCATTAAAGTTCCCAAAATATGCATCCATTAAATTCTTCATCAATTTGATTACCCAAATGAATATAATATATTTTTCCACCTCAAGCCTCTTTAACTTTCGTTGAAACTCGACATTAAGAGTTGCTGGACCATAAATATCTTCATTGTCATTGCTCCATTTTGCAAGCTCCCTAATCGCTCTCGCTTGTAGTCCGAAACGTGCTCTACTCCCTGCTCCGTGCGATTTGTCTTTCCTAGCGTGCATCTGACGCCGCTCCACAACTTCTCGAGGAACTCACTACTCTGACTGAAATCAAAGAAGGTAAAATCAAAAGTCAAACCAATAAATATAACTACTGATAGATGAGATCAACAATAAGACTTTCATTGTAGATATATCAATCCATTGATAGCTCTATCCTAGAAAGTCATTCTAAACATAACTACTATGGTAGTTGTACTTTAAACAACTATAATGATTTTGTTTGTACCACTACAGTGATAGCACTATCCACAAAAACATCACAACGAACTACCACTGCAGCGATAGATCAACAACTGCAGTGATAGATCTACCACTAAAGTGATAGACACAGTATGCCACAAAAACATTCACATGGTTAACTATATCAATGTGGTGATAGACTGTAGTCAAATAAACAACACTACATTATCCAAGAATCAACTATCACCGGAGTGGTATACTTCCGTACCAGAATCAACAATTTATACCACTCCAGTGATAGACATACCAGTACACAGGTACTGATACCACAAGAAAAAATCCATTTCTCGAAACTCAAAAACACAGATCTGGGTGATGAAAAGACCATTGCACTAGTACTAATACCACACGAAAAACCCATATATATGAGTTTGGGAGAGAGTGCTACCTCAGATTCTTTTTCGTCGTCTTCGCCGGAAAGGGGAGGAGGGCCAATGCCGGAAGGGTAGGAGGGTCGTCGTCTTCGCCGGAAAGGTGAGGAGGGTCATCGTCTTCCCTGTCGATCCCTTCGCGTCGACGATCGAAAAGATAGAACTATGGCGTGAAGTCGGAGGATGGCCGACGGATGGGATGGGCCGCCGATGGTCGTTGAGGAATCGTAACGGAGGCCGGAAGGGTGATGATTTCGTCGCGGGGAGAGGTTACGTCGGGGGAGGGTTTCCATAGATAGGTTATTGAAAGGGAGATACGAGGAGACGAGAGGGAGTGATAAAAGGGTGAGGGTTAATTAATTTTGTATTGACCTTGGAAACCATTTTTTCCTCGATACCCGATTTCTTTCCTTTTCAATGTAGGTTATAGAGCAATAATTACGTGATTACTGCTCAATAAATAGATGTTTAATCCTAACCATTCGTTTAACACTAATAAAAATGGATGGCATCTAAGTGGGGTGTCAAAAATCAAACCCCTTATGGGGTAGTCATGCTAACCGCTCCCGGGTCAATCTACATCTACCTGCGCTCATGATAAATTATCTTACATGACGTGACCTGCCACTCGATGAGTATAGATATCGAGATATCTACCCGACATACCCATCGTCATTCCTATCCTCTTTTTGGTAATTTTTTTAAACTTTTTTGAAAGGCTTGTAAAGAGGGAATTTAAATCTCATATGGTATGAGAATTCAAAGTTAGAACATACAAGTTGAAATCAATAATTACAGCACCATGCCGAATTTATGGGTTTGACCAAGCTTGCATATAATCCATGGCAATATAATCTAAACTTTTCTAAAATGAGAAAAGTAATTTCAACGAAAAAATAAGTAATAAATAAAATTAGAAGAAACGGTAAATTTTAAATATATGAGCAACGTGGGAAATCCTGTAAGAAGACACGAAGTCAAAGGAAGAACCGGAAAACCAGCCAGTCCCCGACCCGACACCATATCTGACCAGTGACCAGTGACCAGTGACCACCACTCCCCTTGGTTAGAAACCGTTAGTCTAACTGAGCCAGAGGCTACGGTAATTTTTTTGTCCTTTTTTTAAGTCTATGGTGAAGAGAAGGAGAAGCACATCATGGAATTCAAATTTACCACTAGATCAAATTCTAATTTACAACACATCAAATATTTAATTCAAATATTATAAACCAATTTTTTTCAAGCCACCTATAATCTACATTAATCTTAACCTTGCTAAAAAGGGCGGAGGTTAGGGTGTTTTGCACAATTTGTCCACAAGGTGCTAACACTAATTTTTGAAAATAAATTTTTTATTGTGATGACTATTTTTATATTCAGTAGGTTGATCATAATTAATGATGATTTTCAATCATCACGCCATAGAAATCATATACTAGAAAACTCAAATCGAACCACTAGTTTCTCAAAGCGGATCAAAAACCTCAGGCATATCAGAAATCTTATAAAGCATACAAGTTCGTTGGAGTATACCAAAAACCTAATAAAGCATACCACAAGTTCCCTGAAGCAGTGAGAAACCTCATGAATCATACAAGCAACCTCGTAAATCATACCACTGGTTCCCTGGAGTAGGTCATAAACCTCATAAAATACGCCACAAGTTCTCTGAACCATACCAAAAATCTCATTAAAGCATATGATAAGTTTCTTGAAGCACGCGATACATCTTATAAAGCACACCACAAGTTTTCTGAAACAGACCAGAAATCTCACAAAGCATACTACAAGTTCCATGAAGCAGCGAAAAACCTCATAAATCAGCCCACGAGTTTCATGAATCATACAAAAAAAAATCTCATAAAGCATATCACAAGCACCTAGAACATCCCATAAACCTCATAAAACACACCATAAACTCCCCAAACCAGACCAGAAACCTCATAAAGCATATCACAAGTTCCTTGAAGCAATCCATAAACCTCATAAAGCACACTACAAGTTTCATGAAATAGATTAGAATAGAAGGCATACAAAAAATTCAATGAAACTGACCAGAAACATCATAAATCAAATAAAACAAATTTCATGAAATAGAATTGAAATATGTGCAATAGTATGAGAACTCTCATGAAGTAGACTAGAAAGACGAGAAAGCACACAATAGACCTCACTAAGCAAACTAGAAACTTTATAAGGAATGACAAGTAATAAACAAATTATAATGATGAAATATTTTTTATAATGGTAAAATAATTGCATTTTACAAGCAAGGTGCTTTTCATTCAGAAAACATAAATACACGAGCACAGTGGGAATCCACCGTCGGCGGTGGTCCTCGCCCTTTTACAAACGGTTACCACAACCTCCCCTCGATGTCCATTCATAGAGCTGCAGAGAGAAGTCAAAGGCTGAACCGGGAAACCGGCCAGTCCCCGACCCGACACCATATCTGACCACCATTCTCCTCCTTCCCTTTTCTCGTCAAAATAAAATAAAATAAATGACTGCCACTCTGCCAAACAAAACCAACTTTCCTTTCCTTTCCTTTCCTTTTCTCTCGGTATTTAATTTCAAAAAGGCTCTGCCTTTTATCGATACTGCCACATCACATCCTCCATTACCTAGCTGTTCCTTCCCTTCTCTCTCTCTCTCTCTCTAGTCTCTCCCCGCCACACAGCTCGCTCACTGATTCATAAATCGGCTGAGCGAGCTCCGACCAACAAAACCTCCGTCTCCCGCTTTCCCTGTCCTAGCACTTCCCACACTCATTTACTCACTATCCTTGCTGCTCAAATACAGCCGCCGCCGCTGACCGTCCTCTCGATCTACCTTTGACTTCCCAATTCCCGTTCTCCAGTATAACAACTGCCGAAACAAAAATATTCCCCCCCCAATCTAATCTACCTTTCCATATTGATACACGGACGTCGCTCTCTTCCCCCCAATAACCGCCGACGATGTTCCTTTCCTTTTCCGCCATCCTCCCTTACCTCTTCTCTTCCCTAATCCTCCTCGCCCTAATCGAGCAGATCTCCTACCTCTTCAAGAAACGCCACCTCCCGGGGCCGACTTTCGTCCTCCCTTTCCTCGGCGGCGCAATCTCCGTCGTCACCAATCCCACCAAATTCTGGGACGCCCAATCCGCCTTCAGCGCCTCCCTCGGCTACTCCGCCAACTACATCGTCGGCAACTTCATTCTCTACATCCGCGACTCCCATCTCAGCAACCTGATTTTCTCCAATGTCCGCCCCGACGCCTTCAAGCTCGTCGGCCACCCGTTCGGCAAGAAGCTCTTCGGTGAGCACAATCTCATCTACATGTTCGGCCAGGACCACAAGGACCTCCGCCGTCGGATTGCCCCCAATTTCACCCCGCGCGCCCTCTCCACCTACACCGACCTTCAACAGATGATAATCCTCAAGCACTTGAAGCAGTGGGAGGAGCTCTGCTCTCGGGACCCGACCCGGCCCATCCCGCTCCGCCTCCTCGCTAGGGAAATGAATCTTGAGACCTCTCAGACCGTCTTCGTCGGGCCCTATTTGAAGCCCCAGGATCGGGCCAGGTTCAGGGAGGATTACAATCTGTTCAACGTCGGCTCGATGAGCCTCCCTTTTGACCTCCCCGGATTCGCGTTTAGAAAGGCGATTCGCGCAGTTGACCGGTTAGTAAACACGCTCGCCGATTGCGCCAGGCAGTGTAAAAGCAAGATGGAGGCCGGAGACGAGGAGCCCACTTGTTTGGTGGATTTCTGGATGCAGGAGACGCTGAGGGAAATCGCCGCGGCGAAGGCCGCCGGCGACGCCGAGCCGTCGCACCCCGGCGACGTCGAGATCGGAGGTCACCTCTTCGATTTCCTATTCGCGGCGCAAGACGCTTCCACGTCGTCGCTTCTCTGGGCGGTCTCGCTGCTGGACTCTCATCCCGACGTCCTGTTGAGAGTCCGGGCGGAGGTGGAGCGCGTGTGGTCGCCGGAATCTGACGGGCTGATAACGACGGAGCAGATCCGGGAGATGAAGTACACGCAGATGGTGGCGCGTGAGGTGATAAGGTACAGGCCGCCCGCGACGATGGTCCCACACGTGGCGATGCGGGACTTCCCGCTGACGGAGTCGTACACGGTGCCCAAGGGGACGATCGTTTTCCCGTCAGTTTACGACAGCTCGTTCCAAGGGTTCACGGAGGCGGAGCGGTTCGACCCGGACCGGTTCTCGGAGGGCCGGGCCGAGGACCAGCTGTACAAGAGGAACTTCCTGGCGTTTGGGGCCGGGGCCCACCAGTGCGTGGGCCAGAGGTATGCGCTGAACCATCTGGTGCTTTTCATCGCCATGTTCTGCACGCTGCTGGATTTCAAGAGGCACCGGACCGACGGCTGCGATGAGATCGTGTACAACCCCACGATCTGCCCCAAGGACGGGTGCATGGTTACGATGTGGAGGCGGTGCGCACGGTATCCCGATCTCGCTTCCAATTGACGAGAAGGCCCCTCCTTAGGTCATGAGTGTTGATTATGATTTATTCTGAATCACAATTATATGGTTTCGTGATTCTTGTTAAATTTCTTCTTTGTTCCTTGGCGATGTCTTATGATTTTTTTCGTCTTCTTTTATAATTTTCTAGAAAAAAAAAAACAAAAGAAAAATGGTCTCTCTGTTTTACTTTGTGGTAAAGGGGTATCTCGGGATTTTGACCGAGATGGGGAGAAGGAAGAGGATTCTTTTTCAAATATTTGGGGGGGATGGGGACATTGATTCGGTGGGCAATTGGAATTATTTTGTACGGAGAACACTCCCAATAACATCAGTGTGCTGGATTGTCATGAAATTATAAAGTCCGTTCCGTTCCGTTGGTGTCGGTATTTGATTGGTCATTACTTATCCATCGCGTAACGGCATGTGTATTATGGCACAAATTGTCATTTTGGCTAGATTATCATGGCTTACATTAGTCAACTTGCTTGATAAGCCCTACCCGGTCAACTTGATAACATCAAATTATGTGTGATTTTTTTTGGATAATGTGTGATATATTATTTAAGATTGGTACCTTAACTTTTCAAAATTTGTATAGTGGTCCAATGTAATGACACTTAAATCAATGGAACCAATCCACTAATCCAATCTACAAATCTACCTATAAAGAAATTCAATCCATTTGTCAAATTGAGCATACCCATGTGTTGACTAGATGTGTCATCCGACACATCTCTGATCGAAAATTTTGTAAAATACTTAAATTTTTCCGGTAAAAAAAAAAAAAAACTCAAGACCTCCGACACTGCTCGATAATTGCATCCAACACACCTTCATTATGCAAAAATAAATTTATTTTTATAAAATTACTAAAATATAAATATATATTATTCATCTTAATTTTAATTAATAGTAATAAGTTAAATTATATTTTAGTTTTTTTTTTAACATAGTCAAAACCAGACATAAGTCCGGTGCATAGTCAAAGTACAGAACAAATCCACGGGCGGAAGTCGACTAATCGCCGAACTTCCGATGAGAGAGTGTTTTGGGCCACAAAATGGGTTGTTCTATTAACTCGACGAGTAACAAGGGAGCAAGAACAAAACTCGAGTCTCCTTGTTAACTGACGAACATCAACGAGGATTGCCCCAGCCGAAGCATGAAGAGAGTCTCCCGCCAAGAGAAATCGAACCACCATATGCGATTGACCATGAAAATTGATAGACAAAAAACCATGCGTCAGACACCAATCTAGTGCGTCACGGAAGGCTAACAAATCGGCAATGAGGGAATCCGTAATGCCTTCATAGTACTTACCCATATCACAGAAGAGTTGGTTAGAGGAATCCAACCCGACGAATCCTACACCCGCACCTCTACCACGACGAGAGAAGCCATGAAAGCCCACCGTTATTGCCGGAGAAAGAGAACCCGTACCTCCCGGAGCTTGAGAGGACAAAACTCCCGAGAGAGGCAGAGGATCAGCCCGAGGTACGTGGCGCACACCAACAGCATCCACTGACGAGTTATCCTGAGAGGCAACGAGCCATTCATCTCTTTGAGCCGCAAACTCACGGGCTAATGTAGAAGGTAAGTATTGGATACCCCCATGCACCGCCCAACATCGACTCTTCCAGATTCTCCAAAAGAGAAATATGACTTCAGCTATCTGCGCTTTAGATAACTGCAAGGAGAAAAACAAATGTTTCCATGAGAGATCCCAATCCAAAGCTTCCAGATGGAAACGAATGTGGTCAAATCCTGCCAAAGCCCAAACACCACGCGCAACCCGGCATCGAAAGAAGCAATGTCCAAAAGACTCCACACCATCCGAGCACACCGGACAAGTTGCTGAGTCTACCACTGTCTTGTGAAGGAGAACAGTGAGGATGGGAAGTAAACCCCTAGCCATCCTCCACGCGAAGTTGCGGAGCTTCGGAGGCAGCGGTAAGCTCCATAGCAGTTTCCAAAACCTACAATCATAAGGAAGCACTGGGGGAGGGTGAAGAGCATTCAACTCAACAGTGAGCACCTGGTAACCTGACTTTACCGTATATTCTCCTGAAGGCGAGTAGTGCCAAATCATCCTGTCTTGTGAAGAATGACGAGGAAGAGGAATACTCATAATGAGCTGCACCGTGGAGGAGGGGAAAAGAGAAGATAGTAAAGGTTTGTTCCAACCCCCTCCATCACTGAAAATCAAATCGGCCACCCGTAGGGAAGGACGAATAACACCCGCCAACAGGGATGGAGCCGAAGGTGGCGAAGTGGGCAGCTAGTGGTCCTCAAGAGCACGAACAGAAGACCCATCCCCTATCTTCCAACGAAATCCACGCTTGAGTAAATCGCGACCCTCCAAAACACCTTGCCAAGCCCAGGAAGGCCTGTTTCCCTTCTCAGCATCAAGGAAATGCAAATGAGGATGATATCTGACTTTGTATAACTTGGATAAGCAGTGGTCAGGGTTCCGAAGCACTCGCCAAGCCTGTTTAGCAAGCAAAACCACATTGAAGCTATCAAAGTCCCGAAAACCTAGCCCCCCAAGATACTTACTCTGACAGGCTGCGGTCCAAGATAGCCATCTGATGCCAGTTTCTTTGTCCTGACCAGCCCACCAATAGTTAGGAAGCAAACTATTGCAACGCCTACAAGTCCAAGAGGGAAGACGGAAGGAAGACATTGCATAGACTGGCGCAGCCGAACCAACTGCTTTGATGACAACCTCCTTCCCTGCCATGGATAAAGCTTTCGACTTCCAACTCCGGATACGTTTGGCCAAAGCTTCTTCAATGAAATGAAATGTTTGGGTTTTAGAACGCTGGACTTGAGTGGGCAGCCCCAAATACTTATCCCCTGGTTCCATCTTTGAAACTCCCAGGAACGCAGTGAGCGCATCCAGTTCCTGCTCCGAGACATTATGACTAACAGAAACTGCAGATTTCTGAAGATTAACACGTTGACCACTAAAACGACCAAACTCATGAAGCAGGTGTAGGAGGTTAGCACATTCCGGGATCGAAGCCCGTAGAAATAAGTAAGTATCATCCGCAAAAAAGAGATGAGACGTGAGAGGGGCTAGCTTATGTACCCGTAGACCATGAATAGAAGAGGCCGAAATGGCCGAAGTCAACGCAGCCGAGAAGGCCTCCGTGTAGAGAGCGAACAAAAGCGGGGAAAGCGGATCTCCTTGCCTGACACCACGCTGAGGTTTGAAGTAGCCAAACTCAACACCATTCATAAGGACTGAGAAGCTAACTGTAGTAACGCAAGCATGAATCCATCTTAGCCAGCCGCCCGCAAATCCCATAGCAGACAAGACGGAGAAAAGGAACTCCCACTCCACCCGGTCATATGCCTTCTCCATATCCAGCTTCAGTGCCATCCACTTTTCTTTACCCTGCACTTTAGTTTTCAAACATTGCATAATCTCTTGGGCAATGAGAACATTATCAGTAATGCAACGTCCCTTGATAAAACCGTTATGAGAGGGACTAACCGTGGAAGGCAGAATTTGACTCAGCCGGTTTGCAAGGATTTTAGCTATGATCTTGTAAAGAACCTGGCAGAGACTGATTGGCCGCATTTGCCGCATGGAATTGGCATTGGGAATTTTTGTAATAAGAGCAAGCCATGTGTGATTGATGTTGTGCAGCAAACGACCCGTACGGATGAAGGAGAGGATAGCCTCAGTCACATCTCGGCCGTTTCCGGCCAGAACTTATGATAAAATGCGGCCGTGAAGCCATAAACCTCTCACTGCAATGCAGCGTTCCATTTTAATTATCCCTTTTTATTTATTGGACAATTCTTATCTCACTAAGTCTAACATCCATCACCTATCTTCTTTTTCATACAAATAGTGGAATCTTTATTCCAAACCAAATAAGGGGAAACATTGAAAGAGTGTAATACTGAAGCTAAAAGATCAGTAATTACAACCCATTTCATCAGGAGAAGATTCAAACGAGAATTACGTGTCATCCAATCGACTAACGTGTTGAGACATTGAAGAACAAACTCAACCGTCACCCAGAGAGCTGAGATGACTAATGAGGATGGGAGTAACATGAGCTAAAATAGCCCAATATTGCCATGGCCAAGAGTCCGGATCTTGCCTCAAATCATTAACCAAAACCTGACAATTAGATTTGATGGATGCAGGGTAAGGTTCCTAACATCCATCATTTGCTAGGGGTGTACATGGGACGGGTGATTCAGATTTGGTCATATTAATTAACCGACCCATATACTACGATTTTGAAAATGTTAAATCCAACCCAACCCAATTCAAAAAAATTTAAAACCTACGGTTTGTTTATAATTGAGTTGGGTCGGGTTGGAGATACTTTTAATTAATATTCAACCCAACACAAAAAAGACAACTATTATACACTACAAAAATATTATATAACTAATTAAGATTTTAAACAAATAAATAGAGGATAAAAGTTTCATTATGCATAATAATATTGTTTGGATTTTAATGAAATGCAATTTACTTCAACATATATCTAGTTTTTTTCATAAATATTTGTTGAAGTAAACTATAGTAGTTATAGGCTAACATATTCACAATATATTCTTCTTCTAAAATTGTGCACACAAGAAAAAAAAAGATTACGTGAATCATAGGTTATATTAAATCTACGTCTCAATATTAAGTTGAAGAATGTATTAGACTAGAGAAACCACAAGAGAAAAATATGATAATATAGCTTAATTTTCTCACAAATATGTTTATTTATGATACAAATATGGGTTGTATACGAACACTTATGACAATAGTTCAACTCGGGTTGGGTCGTGTTTTACGGGTTGTGTTACCCAAAATTCAGACCCAACCCAATAGAGGCGGATTGTACAAAAGAAAAACCTCATCCAACCTTAAACTTTAATTTTGATGATAAATACGGGTGGGTTGGGTCTGATTGGACGAATGGGTCGGTTTGCATATTGTTTTGCCATCCCCCACAATTCCCCCCTCCCCTATTTCAAATAAT